GAAGGATGGCATCACAAACTTTCCTGGAGTTTCCTTCAAGTTATATAAAAAGGTATTTATTGCACTTAACATTATGTTCAAAATTTAGCAAGAATACTGCTTCTGGACACAAAGGCAATTCTACCTCACACTGTAATAATATGAGTTAAAGGATTGTAAATGAATTTTTTTAAGTTATACTTCCCAGCACTTTTCAAATTTTGTTCAATAAGCATACATTGCTATATAAGAAAAACTGAAGCTAGAATACTTTTTATTCTTGTTTCACTTATTATTGCATGATAGCCTTAAAAGCAGTAGTGAAACACTGGAAATACTTTGTAAATCTATGCACACTTTGGTCATCCATAAACTGAAACATAGCCCATTAAAAACAAGCTTCGTTGCTTAAAAGTCTGCAGATGTGCACTATATTAAATTTAGGCCAATTTTAAGTAGTCAATTCCAGTATCTACTTCCAGTTACTACAGAAGATCCCTAACACAATAATAATTTTAAAATAAACTATGTTCATTCATTCCACTAATCAGTTTACTTTAGACAAGTCCTACAGCAAACTTGCCACAAGGTGTTTGGACCTAGACTTGAAATAGTCAAACATGGAGCTATGACACAAGCCACTAGAATGCCACTGCTCCTTATTCATAACACACAAGACATACAAATTCCGCACATCCCGATTACCAGAAGCTGAGTACAAAAGACCCTCCATTCTCTGTAACAGCACATCAGCTGGGTAACAGTAACTCCCCTTGGTAGAATACAGCTAAAATGCTAAACCCAACAGGAAGAAGGATGGTTCCCCAATTATAGAAATAAGCTAACTAATTACATTTGATTTTGTCCTTCCCAAAATATATAATTCTACTCCATAGGAATTTACTATGATAAATAGGTAAGAGAGAAAAGCCTTATTTTATATACACACACACACACACACACACCTTCCCCATATACAATCACTATTACATACATTCACATACATATGCCAATGCTCACCTTCTACAAAACCACAGAACATACAAGCTAGGATGAAAGTCTCTCATCCCACCTGGCATAAAGAGAAAGGAAATCAAAGGGAAAAAGGAAAACCTAATAAACACACAAACTGAAGTCTCACAATTCAACACTAGAGCTTCCTAGCCTATCTTTGAAACACATGCCATCAGTCATCCTTTCTTTGCTTCTTTCATTCTGCCTCTGGTCTAAGGTGCTCATTAATTAAATAAGTATTTATATTACCTCCAAATGTGAATGAGGAACAGTTTATAATAGAGTACATAGAAACATGCCCAGCAAAGGGAGAAGCACTGTAGCCACAAATGGTTCAAAGACTGGATATCTTTAAAAATCATAGAACATAAAAGAACCTTAAAGAACATCTGATCTAAATAAAAAGAGCTCATGTTTCTAGTACTCCGCAGGCTGGGGGGGG